GAGATTTTAGGATTTTAAGGTTTAGGATTTTAAGGTTTAGGGGTTTTAGAGTTTTAGTGGTTCTAGGGCCTCGCTCTTTTTTGGGGTTCGGGGGCTTTAGGGCTTTTGGAGTTTTAGGGTTTTTAGGGTTTTGGGGTTCCTTTAAAAGGTACTATAGGATTCTAGGCTTCCTTTAAGGGGTACTATAGGGTTAGGGATTTAGGGTTTAGGGTCTAGGGTTTAAGGCTTTAGGGTTTTAGGGGGTTTAGGGTTCAGGGTTTAGGGGTTTACGCAGGTGACAGCTCGAGCCGAGGACTTAGGGGTGTGGAGTCGCAGCTGCTGGCCCACTGCCGCCCTTTCAGCCGGTGACCCTAAACCCTAAACCCTAAACCCTAAACCCTAAAGGTTTAGGGGTTTTGGGTTTTAGGGCCTCGCTCTTTTCTGGAGCTCAGGGCTTTAGGGTATTTAGGGGTTAGGGCCTCGCTCTACCCTAACGGTTTAGGGGTTGAGGGTTCTAGGGCTTTAGGGTTTTAGGGTTTTAGAGCTGCAGGACTTTGGGGCTTTAGGGCTTTAGGGGTTTAGGGGTTTAGGGGTTTAGGGTGGTTTTAGGGGTTTAGGGTTTCAGGGTTTCAGGGGTTTAGGGCTTTAGGGTTTTAGGGTTTTTAAGGCTTTAGGGTTCAGGGTTTTAGGGCTTTAGGGCTTTAGGGGTTTTAGGGCTTTAGGGCTTTAGGGTTTAGGGTTTTAGGGTTTTGGGGCTTTAGGGGTTTTTAGGGTCTTTAGGGGTTTAGGGTTTTAGGCTTTAGGGTTTTAGGGCTTTAGGCTTTAGGGTTCAGGGCTTTAGGGCTTTAGGGCTTTAGGGCTTCAGGGCTTGTAGGGCTTTAGGGCTTTAGGGCTTTAGGGCTTTAGGGTTAGGGCTTTAAGGCTTTAGGGGTTTAGGGCTTTAGGGCTTCAGGGCTTTAGGGCTTTAGGGTTTTTAGGGTTTTAGGGTTTTTTGGGGGCTTCAGGGGTTTAGGGTTTTAGGGTTTAGGATTTAGGGTTTAGGTTTTAGGGTTTTAGGGTTTAGGGGTTTAGGGTTCCGGGGTTCGGTTAAAGCTACATAAGGGGCCGTATAGGACCACCTCTTTGGAAACAGCTCTCAGAAGCCCTCTCTAAGCAAGCGCTCACTTCCTTTGTGAACACCTGTGTAAAAAAAGAACGCCATGCCCTAAACCCTAAACCCATAAATCCTCCTCTCAACAACAACCTTGCAAAAACCCAAGGATCTAACCCCTTCCCTCATAAATTTTAGAAAACCCCTAAACGCTTAACCTGTCCGTAGATCCTTGTTTCAACGGGGTTCATCGGGTTTCGTTTGGGACTTGCGTATCTCTTGCCCCTTCACAGATTGCCACAGGTTTGAAGTCTTGTTGGTTTTGAGTATGCATAGGGTTTAGGGTTTAGGGCTTAGGGTTTAGGGCTTAGGGTTTAGAGTTGTCAGGGTTCGGGCTTGAGGATTTGGTGCCTCGAGATTCAGGTTCCTGATCCCCTAAACCCTCAACCCCAAATAGCGGTGGGCGTGGTAGATCTCGATGAAAAGCAAGCCATGCCGCTACTGGTCCTGGCTATCCGAACTTAACACTTGAAGGATCCGGGAATGTAGCAAGTCTAGACTTTGAAGTAACCAGGGAGAAAAAAGTATAGACTTTAACTTCATAATGGTTCCCTTAGGGAACAGGTCCCCAAAGAAAGTATTCAAGTATGGTACTCCAGAACCCAGAAGTAGCTTTTAAAAGGGTTAAGGGTTTAGGGTCTTAGTGGGCCCAGAGACTCCAATACCCCTTAATTAAGGAATATACCTTAAATCTTATTAGGCAGCCCTACTAAAACTTAAGGTATACTCCCTAATTAACTCTCTTCTTCAACAACCAGGCCCAACAAAGTTCAAACTTTGTAGGATAGACTTAATATATAAAGCCAAAAAGTTTAAAGTTCTCCCATTGGCTATCTAAGATTAAGGGGTATTGGAGTCTCTGGGGGGCTATAAGTACCTTCGCTTTGACTGCTGTACCTCTAGCCCACTGACCAGCCTGGTAAGTTCCTTACGTAGTTTAGGTTTAAGGCTTATTTAGGGTTTAGGGTTTAGGGTTATCCTTCAAACAGGTTCGAGTAGCTCCCCGCTACCTGCTGCATATACATGCTTACCGTTTGAAGGCTTTGGCATTCCTAAACCCTAAACCCTAGGATTCTGCCATGCTTTCTGTGGTCTTATCTTCATCTGCCATAGAAAAGAAGAGACGCTCATTCTTCTCAGACCATTCCATCCGTGGAACATAGGTGTAGAACATGCGTCTGCGTATGTTCCGGGTTTGCGGCGCCCAGCAAATGTCTCCTTGGTTGGCCATGGCACACCCACGTTCTTGTTGAGCACGACATCCATTGCAGCTTGGTCTGACTTCGTCGCACTGATCTGCTCAGACTTGGCCGGACTCATCTGGTCTGACTTGACCGGACTGGGCTCCATGATGGGCTTGTTCTGGCTGTCCACAGGCTCCTCCTTGTCCTGGTCCATGGCATTCATTGTCATGTCAACATCCTGGTCTTCGCATGTGCGGGTACTTCGAGGGTTTGAGGTTCTGGCTTGAAGACGGAGGGCCCAAGGGAACTTCCTAACCCCAAACCCTAAACTCCTAATCCCTACACTCCGAAACTCTAAATCCTAAACTCCTGATCTCCAATCTCCGAAACTCGAAACCCTAAGCCCGAAGCCTTCAACTCCTAAACCCCAAACCTCCAAACTTCTTATTGGAGGCCTCAAAAGGTGGGATGAAGGTAGGTAGGATTAAGGATCCCTTACAGAAGGACTCTTATTTTGGGATTACCTCACCTACCTTCATCGCACCCGTAGAGCCCTTTAAGAAATCCTCTAAAGGACTTTACAGGAGCCCTAAACGGAACCCTTCAAGGAGCCCTTTTAAAAGAATCCGAGGCATGGGACCGGCGCTGCTTCATCTTAGCGGTGTTCACGGCGGTCTTCTCCTCGCAGCCGAGCGCTTTGAGCTTCGGTTTTAGGATATCGGGTGTACTTAGGCTTTCGGGCTTAAAGCTTCGGGTTTAGGGTTTAGGTTAGGATATCGGGTCTACTTTGGGTTTGGGGCTTAGGGTTTGGGGTTCCCTAACGCACAGCTTCTGTGCAGCTCTCTGATTCGCCTTGACGTACCAAGCATGTGAAGTGGAGAGGTGAAGCCTAGGATTTCAAGGCTTCAATGCGGTGGTAAAGGGCTGTAATGCTTAAGTGATTGAGCGGTTGATAGAGGGCTGTGGGTTTAAGGTTGAGGGTTGAGGATGTGAAGTGGTTCTCTCCTGACAGCGGCTGCTCCTCATGGCTTCAGAGGGGTGTCACTAAACCCTCAACCCTAAACCCTAAACCCTCAACCCTGAACCCTAAACCCGAAACCCCTCAACCGTGTTTAAAGGGCTCTCCGGTTTTCGAGAGAGTCTCACAAAGGCCTCCGTGCTCTTCCCATCGCTTCTTGACTCTGGTCGAAATAAACCCCCTAAACCGTTTTAGGGTTTAGGGCTTAGGGTCTAAACCCCGAGTCCCTGATGCGTAGACCATAGTATATTAACAGCATGTCATCGCACATTCCAGGGTTCAGGTCCAGCTAGGGCCTTAAAGTGAGTGGGTTCCAGCTCCGCTTGCCGGTTTTGGGCCTAGGGTTTGGATTTTTTTAAGTGCGATGGACTTTCGCTCGCACGAACGCCCCGCCCGTTTAGGGTTTAGGGAGTTTAGGGTTTTGGGTTTAGGGGTTTAGGGGTTTTGGGGTTTTGGGTTTAGGGGTTTAGTGGTTTTGGGGTTTTGGGGTTTTGGGGTTTTGTAACCCTAAACCGTAAACCTTAAACCCTAAACCCTAAAC